TGATTCAATGATTTTGTCAATTGATTACCGAATCGATCGTTAAATTCAATTCAGTTTAACAATGAAAATGAATGTATATTTTTGCGAGACTTTTATCATTAGATGTTATGAAACAACTATTTCTGTATTTCTCTCCACTAATAGTCGCAGAAATTGCGAGAAAAATATCAGTGAAAACGCCTTTTCCGGGGATTTTCGCTATCAGTCAAACTCACTGTCAGACTCTTCGCCCACTACTCGATGACCACTCTTTCGGACACCAATTGGTCGCCAATTGTTCCCACATTTGGTCCCAAAACTAGTGATAATTGCAGTAAATTTTGTGCCATTTTTTGATTTTATAACTTAATTTAGTTTTCAATAAAAATCGCGATTAAATTCACTCATAAATTACGTTCACTTTTATATCGATTGAATTAATTGTAAATTAAAGTTAATCTCTATTTTATAAATATTAATAATTTGTTGAATTTGTTTGTAATTAATGTTTTAAATATAATAATTAACATATAATTGACTCAACGATTAAAAGACTGCATTAAAGTGAATGCAAAGCAAAGGATTGTCAGCTGTTTTGACAACATTTGGGGTTTTTTCTCGAAGTGTTGAACAAAAAAACGGTGAAAACAAACCATTTATTTATTGTTTTGCGAAATATTTCACATTTGATGTGAAATTGAATTAAAATTAAATTGAATTATATTTAGGATTGAATTGATTTGAAACACAGAACCCATAGACGAGTGGCAGTGTTTGGATCAATTGGGAAGTGATGTCTGAAGCAAACGTTCCCCGACTGTTGGCCACCGCAAAGGTATGCAAACCATTGAATGCCCATTGAGTGTGATTTGGATGTGATTTGTTGTGTCTGTAGTATCGATACGCGGATCAAAGCAAACGTGACATAATGTCTGCCATCAATAACTACCGAAATCTGAGTCCATTAGTGGAGAAGTATGTGTATCCGGACGGCAGTGATCGAGACCTGTTGTGTCTGACGGGAACAATCCCTGTGCCCTATAAGGGCTCCGTTTACAACATTCCGGTCACCATTTGGTTGACTGAATCGCATCCATACAACGCCCCCATCTGTTACGTCAAACCCACTCAAGACATGACAATCAAAGTGTCGAAACACGTGGACAACTCGGGCCGCATATATCTGCCATATCTGAGCGACTGGAAGGCCAATACGTCGGACCTCTTGGGAGTGATTCAAGTGATGATCTGTGTGTTCGGCGAAACGCCTCCCGTTTACTCGAAGC